GGCGCGCGCTCCATGTCTCTCCCACGGCCTTCTCTCTCTCTCTCTCACAGATTTCCCTCTCACTGATGGAGGGAAATTTCGCCCTCAGATCTCTCTCTCTCACACACACAGATCTCTCTCGTTAGCTCTCTGGATCTCTCTCTCTCTCTCTCTCTCTCTCTCTCTCACAAACACACACACAGGGATCTCCCTCTCCCTTTTTTAATGAATTCTAAGTTTCCTTCAATCCAAAAGGTTCATAGTTTCCATGAATTCAACAGTCACTGAGGATTTGGTATTGAAATGCCTCTCATCACTTTATATCCAAACAAAATGAAAAATGGTTAGAAAAACAACAATAAAATTTTTGGAAATGTACCCTACCCACTCTTTTTTCTTTTGGAAATAAGTAAGCTATCCCTATAATGTTAGATACAAGCGATCCAATGGCCATCAAAAGCCAATCCCAGTTATCAGCATAGGAGAAGTGCTTAAAAATGGGATCTTCTTCCTTGGCTCAGATTCCTCAAGTGTTTTCTTCTCTTTACTCAGTGTTCTGTTCTTTTCCAAAGCTTCCACTCCAGAAATGGTTGCCGCAATCCTTTGTTTTCCTGTGAGAAAGGGTGTTTTGCAGCAAGATGAAGGTTTTCTTTTCTGTTTCTGAAGCAAAAAGCTACAGAGAGTGAGAGAGAGGGGTGAATTTTTTTTCTCTTTTGGGGGTGGAGGGGAGGCACGCGTTTTATTGTGTGAAACCCATGTACTGAGGTGTATATGGGTACTCATCTTGCCAACAGGGAGAGGCTGAGTTACTCGGCGGAGTCCAAGTGGACTTGGCTTAGTCCAAGAACACTGGTTGCAATGCAGACTTCGTAACAATAACATACGCATAAGATATTGGTGAACAGCAATATGTCCTTACTTTTATTGCCTGGAAATAGACTTGGGAAGTAAAAGTTGTTCAGGATAATGTTGTATTGACAAATATATGTTCACCAAGAGTTTCGAATGACGAGATTGTTTTTTGGAGCTTGGAAACAATTGATCATTTATTGTGTTCTTATTATAGAAAGAACTTCTACAATAGACTTTTTCTCAATTAGTTCTTTCTTCTGTATAGAAAAGTGATTCATGCTGAAGTAGTTAGGAGTATTTTGGTTTCCTAAGGTTTTGTTGATATTGACATCTGTTCAGTGATTTTCTATTTACTTGAAAAATATAATAATCATGAACAGAAAAGGAGTTATTCAATTTTGTTTGTAAATAACACTTTTCTACGGTTTAATAAATTGTGCTCTTGGTCTTATGGACTCATACCTGGTGGGAGGCCAGTCAGGTGGCTGACACACTGGGTAAGGAGGGCGCTTCACAATCCATACCAAGGGGACTTTGATTTGGCTCTTCCTGCTATAATGTGTTTTTGTTGGATTGTATAGCATTTTTTGGACTTAGGACTTTTCTGTCCCCCTAGAGGACAGTATTCTTTGTACATTGTACAGCTCTCTTACTTAACACAAAGTTAACAGATTCACAAAAATAAATTGTGCTCTTGGTCATTTTCACACAAAATTAACTGCATCTTAAAATGTTTTACATGAGAGACGTGATTTTATATGTTTCTTCATTATAATGGTGCCTTTGACTCAAATTCCAGAAAGCTGTCGATTCAGGTTCTTTCCTTCTATGCTTTTCTGTCTGATCAGTTATACCCATCAGTAAGTTTATGTTGACTAATCTCATGCACGCAGCCACTGCACGGAAGTCCATGTCGGCCCTGTTGGCCACCTCATCCAAAACTGCCTGGGCCCCAGCAACGTGAATCGCCGCAGCCTGCATGAGTGGGTGCGGGGCTCCATTGACGACGTCCTTAATCCCACAGAGTCATACCACCTCTTCGACCCCTTTGGCCACCGTGTCAAGCATGATACCCGCTTCCGCTATGACCGCATCCCCGCAGTCGTTGAGCTCTGCATCCAAGCTGGTGTTGACCTTCCCCTATACCCCTCTCGTCGCCGCCTTGTTCCCATCCGAATGCTTGGAAAGAAAGTGATCGATCGTGGGGGCTTTGTCGATGATCCTGAACCCCTTGTGGGCCCCATTCCTCCATCTTGCCTTGGGCTCGATACACATGGGATTCATCGATCAGCCGATCCACCAGCATTGCCTGCTTCTCTTGTAAAGGAGATTGCGGAGGAGACTTTGGAGGCTTGGGAGGCAGTGAGGGCAGGCGTTGGGAAGCTGAGAAAGTACAGTGTGAAGGCATGTGGGTATTGCTCGGAGGTGCATGTGGGGCCTTGGGGTCACAATGCGAAGCTGTGCGGGGCATTCAAGCACCAGTGGAGGGATGGGAAGCACGGGTGGCAGGACGCCACCCTTGATGAGGTGGTGCCGCCTAACTATGTTTGGCATGTGCGGGACCCTGACGGGGAGCCGCTGAGAAACGGGTTGAGAAGGTTTTATGGGAAGGCGCCAGCAGTTGTGGAGATGTGTGTGCAGGCAGGGGCCGAGATCCCAAGACACTACAGGCCCATGATGAGGCTTGATATCGTGATCCCTGAGTGTGATGAAGCACGGCTTGTGGCTTGAGGTTTACTATGTCATAAATTATACCACCATTGATAAGAAGAGGTCAAATGTATCTATTGTAAGTAATCATGGTATTTCGTTTTAGATTATAGAACTAGAGCTTTGTATTTCATTGTAGTTTTGGCTCAGGTATGAAAATTTTTGTTTTTAGCTTTGATTAAGAATTCCGCATTCCAATAATGAACTGTTATGGAGAATTTTTTTAGAAAATGTGGATGATTTGTTTTGAGGTATTTTTATTACATGATTAGGTTTTGAAGTTTCTCTGCATAACAATTCAAACCATCCCATATTGAAAACCTGAAATCTACTTTATATGTGTTCTGGGTTTTTTTTGGCAATTATAGTACCTATTAGTTTTTATTTAGCCTTTCATAACAAAGGGCACAAAAAGATCTTAATTTTTTGACTTTGCACATAACTGCCAACTTTATCTAGCATCTAGCCCAAACTTTATATGTTTCAACAGTTTGAAGTGTGAGTTTCTTCACAGCCTTGAAGGTCATTGTTGTCTAGTAACAAAATGGTTCCCACTCATTCCTCATCCCAGAAAGATCAACATAAAAAACGAACCAAGCTTGCCATCTAAACAATTTGAAGGCACTTCTTCATACACTTGTATTATTTTAATATATGATTGGAAATATAGACCAGCTTGTTGCCCCTACATGATACAGCCATTGAACCATTCCATCCCTCCAAGGATATCTTTCTATGGTGTTTTCAAAGGCCTCTGCCTCCCCCGACAACCCCCTCCCCCTACTCTCACCCCTCTCTCTTCCCAACCTAACCCACCCCCACCCTCTTTCTCTCTCTTTGAGATGAGAGCTAGTACTTTGTAATCTCTCTCTCTCTCTCTCTCTCTCTCTTGTACTCTGTAATCTGCCTACGTGTGTGTGTGTTGTGTGTGTGTGTCCGCTGTTTAACTCTTTACATTGTCTTTCATGCACTCTTGAAACTTTGAGAGTGATCTCACATGGGGGTGCAGAAATAAGAATCAGAGAAGGTGGGTGCATAGAATAAACTTCCAAATGTTCTCTTCCACATGCTGGCAGCCGTCGCAGCTCCCCTTGAGATATCGATTCCCCAATCTTTACCGACTGGCCAGAGATTGTGACGCCTCTGTTGAAGATTATTTCCAATTGGTAGGTCCTTCTCGGTCTTGGAACCCAAATTTTAGAGGACATCTCTGTGAGGGAGAGTTCGAAGCATTCCTTCAACTCTTGGCCCTCCTCCACTCAGTCTATCTCTCTCCCCATTGGGAGGACCAAGTTATCTCTTCCCTAACTGTAGAAGGCTCCTTCACAGTTTCTTCCTTCTACCACAAACTCCACTCCATCCCGTCCCGTCCTGTTGCCGCCAAAGCTTGGACCTCCTTCATCCCCCCAAAATCCAATTCTTCAATTGGATTGTCCTTTCTGAGAAGGTGTTGACTGCCAATCAATTACAAAGGAGGGGTCCCAACCGCGGCGTAATGTGTTTGGCCGAGGAGTAGACAAACTCACACGTTATCATCCACTGCAGCCTAGCAAGCACTCTTTGGTAGGACCTACTCTGACTCTTCCACTGTCTTGGGTCATCTCCAGGTCTGTTCCACACCTGTTCCAATACTCGAAATGTCTCCCATGGGCCAAATCAGGCATTTCACTTTGGAAGGCTTCTGTGGTGGCCACCCTATGGGCCATCTGGATCGAATGAAACAACTGCATTTTCAAAGGCCGCAGTTCCCCTCTCCATGCCCTAAGGACAACATCAACTTCATGGTCATCTTTTGGGTGCTGAACCAGTGCCGCTTCAGGCATCTCTCAGCTTCAGACTTCCACCTTAACTGGTGCTCACCTCTTTCTCTAACGCATACAGCCATCCCTCGTTTGTCCCTTTGGCAACCTCCGGAAGTCGGCAATACGAAAGTCAACTTCGATGGTTGCTCTCTTCGCAAACCAGGGCTGGCGGGTATTGCGGGCATCTTCATAAACTACCTTGAGCAATCCCTCCTCTCTTTCACCAAACCCATTCGTTGAGCAGACTACACATCGGCGGAAGCTCTCGCCCTTTTGGAGGTCCTCAAACTTTTCAATCCCCTCTGGAGCACCAGTCTGGTCGTGGAAGGAGATTCTAAATATATCATTGTTTGGGCCTCGGGGGAGGCCACCCTATCTTGGAGATTCGCTCATGCGTTTGACAAGATCTTTGACCTTTGCGGGCATAGTCCTGCTTCATGGACTCGTACCTGGAGGGAGGCAAATCACGTGGCAGACACTCTTGCTAGAGGAGGAGCAACCATGGCAGAAGCTTAAAGACCCTAGGGCTGTGATTTTTGGAGTTTTTGGGGTTTTCTGGGCATTTCTTCCATTTCTCTTTAGTTGTATAACATATTTTGACACTCACCACCTTCTCGGTGGTTTTTCTATAGAGCAGCCTATTTTTTGACAACTTGTACAACTTTACTTAATACTATACAACAGTTTACAGTTCATAAAAAACCTCCCATGCAGACACAAACTCCCATTATTGTCCCATATTTTTTCACTAGCCATTATGCCTGCAGGATATTCCCCAACAAACCCATTGAAACTCCTCTCCACATACTCATATTTGTTATCTGTGCTCCTCTATCAGACTTCCCATTACTGTTGCAAAACCCAAGATTTGAACCTCATGACGGGCTTCCCCAAAATTTGAAATTGGATGACTGGTATGGTTTTCACTAAAATTTATTGTTGGAGAAGAGGCATCCTCGTCTTCTAAAAATATGTGCAGGAACTCTGTCACTCTCTAAGGGGAGATCTCTTCATGCTCATATCCACAAATCCATGCAAGCCCATCCTGTTTTCCTATCCAACAGTATAATGGATGTGTATGCAAAGTGGCGAGCATTTTAAGATGCAAAAGTGATTTTGATCAAATTTCCTGAAAGAAATTGTCTCAAGGCAGGCTGTGGTCTCTGGCTATATCTGATGCGGCCTCATGCCTCGTGTCCCTCTTAGTCTAGAAAGGTGTTGTCGCCAGGCCTGCTCACACCTGATCGATTTACCATTAGAACTTTGCTCAAGGTTTGCACTGGTTCGAATGTTTTATCAGAAGTTTCACAGGTATATGGACTTGCGATCAAGTGCAAGTTGGATCGTGAGTTTTATGTGGGGGGTTCTCTTGTTGGTTTCTATTGTAAATTGCAATAGGTTCATGAAACACCACGAAGGGCTAAGAATAGTCGGATTTGGAATGTCGTCATAATGAATGGTATTTGTGTTTTGCATCAGGTTCATGAAACACCACAGTGCTAAATATAGTCGGATTTGGAATGCCCTCATAATGAATAATGCTATTGTTGCTTGTCATGCTCAGAGTGGTAATTGTGTACGACCTTTACAAAAATACAGGCAAATCATATCCGCTTCTGCTCAACCAGCAAGAGCTAGCCTAGTTACTGTATTAACCGCAATTGATAATGGGGAAGCCCTGACACATGGAGGCTGTTATTCATGGCTTGATAATGAAGACCGTGTTTCATGATGGTGGCATGATAGATAACTACCTTTCTAGAATGTGTTAGAGCTGCCTTGGTGTAGGTGCTTTCAAATCTTGGATGAATATCATGGCCAGAATGCGACGGCCTGAACTAGTTTAATTTCTGGCTATGTTACTTATGGTTGCTTTAAAAGAAGCATTTGCCTTCATTTATAGGCTACATCTTTCGAGACTAGGCGGTAGTACCAATGAGCTTTATGATGGAGTCTCTAAATCTATTCTCACCAAAAGATAGGGGTTCTTGACTTACCCTTTTTTTATAGGCTACATCCTTCAGCCATAGCTATTAGCCATGGTAGCAATTTGGGTGGCATACTCGACTTATGTGTTTCATCCTTGGACATGGGTATCAAGTCCACAGACAGGTATTGCAACATGGCCATGGAAATGACATAGATATCTGGTTGCCCATGGTCTGATTGGCCAGGCCTTAAAAATCTAGGGCGTGAGCTATCAGCCTGTCACGGCCCGAGGAAAGAGTCGGGCCGTGTTTGGGCTAGGGCCATGACATGGCTGGCCCTGTTTGGCTGGCTGGCCTTTATTTTTTTCTATAATTTGTTTTCCTTTGTTTACTTTTATCTGATTTTGCCTGGCCTGGCCCTGATATGGCCAGGGCCTCTTTGGCGCGGTCTGGGCCACGTTGGGATCACCTGGCCCCATAGGGACTAGAGCCAGGGCTGGCCTGGCCCATTGCCACCCCTAGATGTTCAGAACTCTTTCATGCCACCCCTAGAATTTTGCACCCATGGCAAGCTAGCTGAGCTCGAAATTTATAGAAAAATCCCATTATTGTAACTTAAAAATAGCCATTTATATTTTATATTTTATGGTCAAGTTCTTCAATTTAATGTAATTTTATATTCATTGAATTAAGCCTGAATTTGGGGTGCCCATATGTCTCACCGTGTAAAAATATGTAATAATAATTTGAAGAAATAAATGATAAAAATACCCTTGGTGCTTATAGGAGTATTTTTGGTCAATTAATTTTATTGAATTATTTCTTTTATATATTTTTAGAGTTGCATGATGTTGAGAAGTATGGACAATTGGAAGGCTTTCCGACTTTATATATTTCAAGGTTGAGATAATCAATTGGAAGGCTTTCGAACTTTATTACATTTTTTTCTAGAGGATGTTTAAAATGCATCTTAATTCAATAATATAACGTTGTAACCAATGATTTAAAAAATTAGATCGGTGACTGGATTGGCCACCCAAAAATCAATTTGGATCGGTGGTTCGGTTCGCCGTTATAATACAGAAAAAACAATGAACCGGTGAAAAAACACATGAAAGATAGTAAACCAGCCAAAAAGGGGCTCGGATTGCCATTTTACTGTAGAGAATTGCGTTTTACGATGCGGAGCCATCGGTTCTCTTCTAGACTCGACTTTTTTCCTATATACATGCAGAACCAGAATAAGGTGACGGATTCCCAAGACATATTGAGCTATTTCGTGCCGGTTATAACCTGATATAAACTTTTTCTATGACCTCTTTCCATTTAAAAGGTTGCCAATGAGTGTTAAAGAGGAGTTGATGTGAAATAACCCAAACGGCCGCCGCTGAATATGGTGACGGTCGGCTTGAATTCCGCGTCTTGCCTTTGAAATTCAGCTTTGGCCAACTAGGCCTTATGTGGGATCTTATACTCTAGTAGGAGTATATTGTATATTTACTCCCTCAGGTAAAATTTATTATAGGAGTAATAATAGGACATCAAATTTT